GCACAGTCGGTGAGCACACACGATGTTTTGATACATTAACACGATATACATGATCATTTAATCGTTCAGTCTTTTGGTAGTAGACCGCTTACTGGCCCACATCCAAAAAAAGAGTGCATGTCAGTGCTGCTCTTGCAAAGGTAGCACACATGATTAGCACTGTCCTTTCTTAGAAGTACACGTCATACTGAGCCAGAACATCTAGTAGCAGGTTTCATGTGCTCTGTCACCCACAAGGCTGACAGGTTTATCCATTTAGATTGGGCATTTGTCAAATAGGCAATAATTAGCATGCCATCTGCAATAATTAACCTGTTTTAAACCGTTTTGTTTTCTCAGAAATGATTGGAGCATTTTCTTGGTAGATGTAGATACTGAGCTTTGATTCTTGGTATGACACAAGCCACTGAACTGAACCACATACTGTTTATGGGACTGTATTTCTGTGAATGAAAGTTGAATCTTATGTCACAAGCGAAGTCAACAGGAAGAGCTGTGAGCTGCAGGGTGTGTGGCACTCAGCAAGCCACACAAATACAATGAAAAAGGAAGAAAATCGCTGCTGTGCCTTTTTGGTGATGGTCTAATAGTCGACTCATTGGTGTGTTAAACATACAGTGTTATTTTTTTTTGTACTTTAAATAAATGTATTAAAAAAAAATTTGTTCAGGTCTTTTTTAAATTTTTCAGAAATGTGTTGTGGATATGTGTCATGCAGAGGTTGTTTTGTGGGTGAGCAGTCTTTGACACAAGCATGGTTTCATCAAGTTACTGTCTGAAGCTTGACAATTGTTATGCATTTCAGTATAAATGCAATTCAGATCACTATGCTCATAAACCAGTAGCTAAGATGATTAATTAACTTAGTTTTTGTGTGTGGTGCCACCCTGGAGAAATTAGAAAAAATACCAAACACTTTAAGAACCGATGTTCTGGTGAATGCTTGTCTGCAGTACAGATATACATTTACTAGTAAACAAATAATGGAACTTTATGAATAATTTAAAACGAATCATCTATTTCTGTTGCTTCCAGGAGATGTGTGTGTTTAAGGTTATTTTAATTTGAACTTCTGCTATTTCAAATACAAATGAGCAAATGAGTCCGTGTGCATTTGGTATTTATCTCATTTTCTGCATCTGATCTCCTGTGAGACTTGGGGGCCCGAGGAATCTGCTGGTTTTGGCAGAAAGGAAAAAACAGTTTAAACTACAGCAATTAGTACTTAGACTTGTCAAAGCTAAACAGGCGGTGCAGAAAGAACATTTTGAATAAGTGGCGGATGCAAAAATAAAATTTTGAAAGAAAGAAAGGGTATGTATGTTTGTGTTTTTTGGGTGTTGGTACAAGGTCACCCTAAGAGTGTGCGTACGAGAAATTAGAGCAAGAGGTTGGTATGGCGGAATGAGACCGTAGGACTTTAATAAAGTCTCAGTCTTGCGGGTTTCTGAGATGGCAGACTTATCTCTGAATGAAACCAATCTGCTCTTCATTTACACAGTGGTTTATTTTTTGTCTATAGCAGTCAGTGACATTCTATTTCCAGTGCCTCCGACGGTGTGGAGAAGCTTTTAGGGTGAGTTTGGGGGGGGGGGGGCCTGGGGGGTGGGGACGGCCCCAGGCGTGGTTGGGCCCACAAGGAAGCTCCTACAGATGAACCTTATGCTGTAGATCTGTTGTGAGAGGAAATTTCACATAGTTTTAAGAGAGAGAGAGAAAAAAGAAAAGTTCTACTTTGCAGTTTACATTTTAACCCACAGTTTCATAACACCATCTTAAGTGGGACAAACCCAGAGTTCCAGATAAATGTATATTCTTTTTATATAACAATGCGTTTTGCTTTTTGATGTTTTTTTTTCTTGTTTTGACTGCAAATTATTTTTATTCTTTTAATCAGTGAGGGCACATTAAATTAATCGAAAATGACATTAAAAACGTTTATAATGTTAATATTTGTCTTTCAACTATATTTAAGGAATCCTACATTTCCAAATTTTGTTTCCACAAAAATAGTAAGCATAATAATATGAATAATAAGCATTAACATTTTAAAATGTTAAAATAGAAAAACTTTTAAATTGTAATAATATTTCATAATACAGTTTTACTGTATTTTTGAACAATAGTGTGTTTGTGTATGTGTGTTTTTATATAAAATAAATTGTGTGTAAAAGATGATTTTTTTTATATGAATATATACAAATTTATATCAAATATATTGTTTTTTACGAATCTATATGAGATTTTGTGTTTTCACATTTAGTATAATTGTAATAATTTAAACACTTTTTAAAAATATACAATTCTACTTTTGAAGAGGGATACTTTTGAAACTCTATTCAATTAATTTGTGATTTGCAAGTTCACAATTCTGATTCTCACTTAATTCAATATCACTTAAGTTAGAAATAGTACAGTTACAATGTGTATTTTGCTTTGATGTGAAGTACATTATGTGAACAGTACTAAATAAGCTGTTTTTATGTAGCTAGTAGTATATAGCAGATAATAAACACCGGTTAGCAATATATCAAACAAGGTTTTAATTTTGAGGGATTTTAAGAATCAATATTAGATTGTTATTAATCTTCAAATCAATATTTTTTTACCCATACCTTACCTTTAGTTATGCGCATTAGTCAATGCAAATATATTGTATCAGAATGCAAAATGTCTCCAAATCAGG